TCATCTATTTTTTCCTTCCTTTCCTTCCATCTATCTTCCTTCAATCACCTTCCTTCCTTACTTCTATACTTTCCTTCCTTTTCATCTTCCTTCTTTCCTTCCTTCATCATCTATTTTTTCCTTCCTTTCCTTCCATCTATCTTCCTTCTATCACCTTCCTTCTTTATCATCTTCCTTCCTTATCATCTTCCTTCTCCTTCCTTCCATGATCTTCTTCCCTTTCATCTATCTTCCCTCCTTCTCTTTATCATCTTCTTTCCTTTCCTTCCTTCATATTCTATTTTCCTTCCTTCCTTTCCTTCCATCTATCTTCCTTTTATCACCTTCCTTCCTTGATCTTCCTTCCTTCTATCATCTTCTTTCCTTCTATCATATTCCTCCCTCCCTCCCTGTAAAGCCCTACTACTTTGGCCTATGGCTTTCTTTCATCGCCAAAGGGGAGTCCTGAGACAAACTCAGGATCTTTTTGTGCGACTCACTTTGTAGCTGCAGATTTGACTTGATCCCGCACGATCCCGACATAATGGTCGATCTGAGTCTGAGGACCGAAAGCAAGAGAGATGATGAGTCAGGGAGACCAAAGATGGGTTGTGCATTGTCAAATTTATACATCTCTGTCCAGGGTGACAAGTCAGGAAACCCGGCAGTTGATCATATGAATATAAAGAAGAGTTTATTAGAAGCCTATTCTCTCTACCAGAATATGAACTGCTGTTAAAGCCAATTGGAATTCCGGAATGTCAATGGAATTCAAGGCATCTCTTGTGGGCATGAAGAGACTCAAGACTGATGACGCGTTTGACCCCTCCTTCCCTCTCCCATTCATAGCTCTGCTCTGTCACCAAACCCTGCTCTTAAACCAGTGTTTCCCAACTTCGGGCACTTGAAAACAATGTGGACTTCAACTCCCAGCATTCCCCAGCCAGTCCTGTTTTGGGCCCTGCTGGCTGGGAAATTTGGAGAGTTGAAATCCACACATCTTAAAAGCGACTGAAGTCAGGGAAAAAACACCATCTTTAGACTTTCAACACAGGTCGTCCCCCCCCCAATCCTCTTAATTTTCTGTTCCCCATTTTTTTATTTTAAAGAGGGAATAAAATGCCCAAAAAGAATGAGGCAATATTCTACGTTTGAAAAATAAAAGAAGGGAATGAAACACATTGGCTTCTGTTCTTATTTACTCTTCCAGTTCTAACAAGCTGTCCAGATGCCCCAAAAGATGTGATCACGAATTCTGCTGCGCCTTTTGGGGGGGGGGGGAACATACTGCCCTGTTGTGTGTGTGTTTCAAAGTTTGAGAAAAAAACTTCGCGATTCTTTGTTGTTGTGGCCTGCCAGCGGCCATCGGAGCTGGCAGCAGATTCGGACAGTGAGGAGGAAGATGGGCCAGTCCTGGGGGCTGAGGAGAGCTCAGACAAGGGCTTTGTGTCGGAGTCAGAGAGGGAATTAGACAGCAGTGAGGCAGAGGAACAGCTGGAGCCTGTTCCCAGTGTGCGCATGCGCAGAGCTGCNTGGCCAAGTTCTGCAGAGATCGGCCTGGCAGCTCTCCAAGCCAGATAAGGTCTGTGACTGTAAATCCTCCCTTGAAAGACTTTGCTGGAGGTGAAGGAGCAGAATTCACAGCAAATTAATAAAAGTGTTTTTTTTTGTCGGGACAACGAGGAGTTGGCTTCATGCTCTCGGGAAGCCTCGGTCAGAACAGGTTTGCTGCAACCTGCTTCCAACACTGATGATGATACCTAGTTGGGTCGTGAAACGTCTGCAAGAAAACCCCTAAGCTCAGAGAACACCACCTCATTTTAACCCTGAGCTACAAACATTCTCCATTATAGGGATCAAACTGGTACGAGATGGGTGGGTGGGTGGGGGAATCAAACTTTGGTATGTTAGAGTGACTGGCTAAAAACCTCTTTGGTTTAACTGGATTGCTGGGGCTAAACAAGCTGAACCAGGAATCGTCAATCATGAAGAGACCTTCTGGATTTTTCTGAATGACACCTTCTGTAACTCCCCCCATCCCCCCCAATCCTCCATCCTAGGGGTGCCTGAGGCCATCAGCAAAAAAAGAAAAAAACACGCCTAATTTCCATCCAGTCTTTTAGAGAGTTGCAGGCTGCATTTGGGAGCGAAACCAAATTGTGCGTCAGTACCCATAAGCCGAATATTGCTTTGATATTATTCCGCATTGTTTCGAGACAGCAAAAAGCCATCCTTAACTGGGGATTGCAGCTGCTTTGCCCCGAAGGAGCCCTTGATTTTTTTTTAGTTTTTAAGGGCAGAAAATTCTCTCCTAGATTTAGCGGGCTCTCGCTGAATGGGCTAAAAACTAAACTGGTTTTTAAACAGCCCGAAGGCTTGCTTTGAGGATGGAAAAGGAGCGATCTCTTAACAAGGCACACCCATATTTTTGGCAAGCATGAGTTGCCTGCTCTCTTTTTTTTCTCTCCTCCCAAAACCACGTCGCCTCATTCCTCCCTTCCCTTCCGTCGTCCCTTTTCATGGCTTGGCCCTCGAGTTTTGCCACCCCCCAAAAATATTGCTGATGACAACAACCTTGTGGACTATGTGGGAATTTTTAGTCTCTGTCGCTTGTGGGGTGGGGAAAAAATGTGTTTTGCATCGATACGAAATGTTTTTATATTATATTATATATGTATATTATATATATAAGCACTACGTTTTGTAAAAACAGGTTATGGAGGAGGAGAAAAAAACAACCCCACCACCCCCTTTAAAAGTTCTGCTATTTTAAAATGCAACTCGGAAGGTTATTTTCGTTGGAAAGAGACAAAATGTTTTGGGGTGGGGGCTTCAAGATTTCCCCTTTTGCTGCTGCGGGTTTGGCGGGGGGTGGGGTGGGCGAACTAGACTCTGTAGATCAGATTTTGGCAGTATGAGGTCGAATGCTGAGACTGGGAGATTCCCCAGTTGGCTATTTTCAAGGGGAAAACGGGCAAGGAAGCGCGTTCGAATCTCGGCCATCTCTGGGGAGGAGGGGAAGCTGTTTGTGGTCCTGGAAGGCAAACCTGTTGGATCAGAACATATGGATTTTGCTGCTTTACAGCTTCTCTTTGGTTCCAGCTGTTGTCCATCCCCCAAGGGCAGCTTCCCCCATAATGGAGTGGATGACCGGCTGCCGTTTCTAGCCCTTCGGTGGAGCCCTATGGCTGAACCATGGGCCAACTGGTGTCTGCAGCCAAGCAAGTCATCATGTTAGTTGTGAAGTTGTGTCCCACCCATCGCGACCCCATGGACCACGTTCCTCCAGGCCTTCCTGTCCTCTCCCATCCTCTGGAGTCCATTGACTGCTTCAGTGCCTCCATCCAGCCCCCTCCTTCTCTGCCATCCCCTTCTTCTTCTTCTGCCCTCCATCGTTCCCAGCATGAGGCTCTTCTCCAGGGAGTCCTTCTTCCTTCTCATCAGGTGGCCAAAGTCCTTCAGATGATAGATAGATAGATGATAGATAGATAGATGATAGATAGATAGATG